TTCCAGTTTTCCATCTGGCACACTATTTACACTACCTTGAATGTCCTGTCTTGATGAGTGCACACCATGGAGTTCTATTTGCATGTTGAAGCAAGTTTGGGGGATTTGTGAAATACATGTCTTGCAAATCTCATTCCCCCTCTCATTTTTCAAAATGAAGTTTAATGACTGTATTTATATACCTTTGCAGGATGCCTCCAAAAAGAACATTAAAAGGAAAGGAGAAGGTTGGTTCCACATCTGGCACAGCCCGGACTAGGGAGTCCGAAGGGGGTGTTAGGCGATTTCTATCTTCGGACACAGCAGCCTGCTACGCCAATGTTGTCCTTGAATGGACACTCATCCCCGAAAGACCAGTGGGATAAAGAGTATGTGGAAATCTTCAATTGGGGGTTGGTTTTGGAAACTAAATGTCTAGAAAAATAACAAAGGGCAAAAATTAATATGTGAGAATAAACACTTCTTTTCATACCTTTATGACTCGAGCAAGTAAGCCTATAAAGATATTTCAAAATCTAGTGCCCTAAAGCCAATTGGCCTGGGAGTCACCGGCCCAAAGCTCGATACATGGGTCATATAGAAAGTAAGAGGGAAAGAAGTTAATAAAAAGTCATCTGATCGAGCCTTTATAACTCGAGTGAATAAGCTTATAAGGATTTAAAATCTGGTGCCCTAACGCCAACTGGTTTGGAAATCACCGACCTAAAGCTCGTTACATGGGTTATATAGAAAACAAATGAGAAGATGATAATCAATAAGAAATTTGAGAAAGGTGAGAAAAACAAAAGAGAGACAATAATATGATGAAAAGCCCTTGGACATTTGGTTGAAGAGACTATATCTCTGAGGCGAGACAAGTAACCTAGTTTAATTTTAAGTGTCGAAGCAATCAAACTTAGGAGAGCCTTTACTTGTTTAAACGTAAACTTGTGATAGTAAGACTAATCCAAACTACGAGAGGGTGAGGACTACAGCTATGTAAATTCCTAATTTTAAGACATAACCCCGGGATAATTGAATGAAAAGAATAAGTTTGGGGGATTGTGTATCTCTCGAGCGAGTAAGGATATATTTGACCACTTGGGGTCGGGATTCAAATTCATCATGAAATTGATGTGTTGGCATGAATTCACACACACATGTCAATTTTACATTTAACAGGTAAAGGTTGATGTCATGTTTGCACTGATAAATTTTCATAAAGTCAAATACTTAGTCCAATCCTGAGCCACAATAGGGTATTAAGATATGTTTGTTCAGAATTAAGTCATTATCTTATTTGAGGACAAACAATAGTTCAAGTTTGGGAGGTTTGATAAGTGTGTTTTCGCACACTTATTTAGGTCACAAACATGATTGAATAACGAGCAAAATGATTGAATTGTGACTTAATCTCGTCACACAAGGCATAGAGGTATATTTCTATCCCCTATCGAACCTTATGATAATTTATACTATGTCGAACCTATTTTCCCTCTTTCGAATGCATAAAATAGGCCACCACAATCATATAATTACGTACACAATAATCATATGAAAATAAAAACATAATAAATCAATCAAATCCGAAACTTGGGTTCAAATACGTCAAAAATCCAAATTAACAATCAAACGTAGTATTATAAGGTTCATCGATCTCTTAGCAATGATAAATCTAGCCTAACATGCTAAAAGGAAGAAAGCATAAAAATATTTGAAGAAACGACAGTAACCGAATCAATCTTCAATCCGATTTTCACTTGGCGCGATGTTGTTCTCTTGTTCTATCCTTTGTTTCTCCTTCAAAATCTCTTAAAAATATGTAAAAATGGTGTCCCTTATGTTCTGGTCGAGTTTTTGTATTTATAGGACCCTAAAAATATTGTTTCCATAAGAGTTTTGGCGGAAAATGGAAATAGCGATTTTACCCTAATGTTGCTCTATGCGGTTGCATAGAGTAAATGTTTGGTGCCTTTTTGTCTTCGGTATGCTACTATGCGACCGCATAGAGGGTAGCACTATGCGGTCGCATAGTACTACCAATTATGGAAGATGTGCATTTTGGTCCTTCCACTTGCATCCTTCACTTCTTGGCATCTTCTCTTCATTCTTTTCATTTCATCATCCCATGATATCGTCAATTGACAATTGGCTTAATCAATTTCTCAATTTGTTCATCGGATCAACTTTTGGATATTTGCACTTTGGTCCCTGAACTTTCACTTTACGTCATTTTAGTCCTTTTCGCGTTTTTCTCCAGAATTTCACCATGTTCATCATTGTTCCCTACAATTCACAAATGTAATGAAATTAAATTACAATTTCATCATTTTTCTCGTTATTCAGTCATGTTTGTGACCTAAATAAGTGTACAAAAATAAACTTACCAAACCCCCCAAATTTGAACTATTGTTTGTCCTCAAACAAGATAGTGACTTAATTCTGAACAAACATGGCTTAATACCATGTTGTGGCTCAGGATTGGACTAAGTATTTAAAATTTTATCTATGCAAACATGACATCAACCTTTACCTGTTGAATGCAAATTGACGTGTGTGAATTCATGCCAACATATCAGGTTCATGATGAATTTGAGTCCCGACCCCAAGTGATCAAATATATCCTTACTCGCTCGAGAGATACACAACCCCCCAAACTTATTCTTTTCACTCAATTATCCTGGGGTTGTGTCTTAAAATTAGGAATTTACATAGCTATAATCCTCACCCTCTCGTAGTTTGGATTTAGCATTACATCACAAGTCTATATTTCAAAAAGTGAAGGCTCTCCTAAGTTGGATTGCTTCTACACTCAAGATTAAACTAGATTACTTGTCTCGCCTCAGTGGTATAGTCTCTTCAACCAAATGTCTAACGGCTTTTCGTCAGGTTATTGTCTCTATTTTGTTTTTCTCACCTTTCTAAAATTTTTGATTGATTATCATTTTCTCATTTGCTTTCTATATAACCCATGTAACGAGTTTTAGATCGATAATTTTCAAACCAGTTAGCTTTAGGGCACCAAGTTTTAAAACCTTGAAGGCTTATTCACTCTAGTTATAAAGGCTTGATCAAATGACTTTTTATTAACTTCTTTCCCTCTTGCTTTTTATATGACCCATGTATCGAGCTTTGGGCCGTGACTCCTAGGCCAGTTGGCTTTAGGGCACCAGATTTTAAAATATCCTTACAGGCTTACTTGCTTGAGTCATAAAGGCATGAAAAGAAGTGTTTTATTCTCACATATTAAAAGTGTGCCCTTTGTCATTTTTTCCAGACATTTAGTTTCCAAAACCAACCCCCAATTTAAGATTTTCACCAAATCTTCACCTCACTGGTCTAGACAATCCACACAACAAATTTCATGCACGGAGCCCCCGCTCATCTCAATGCTTTCCTATAATAGCTCAACTATCACCAAACTATCTTAAGGTAGTTTATGGGTTGATTCGGAAGAGGGTTATCATTCTTTTCCTATGTTATGCCCAAAATCCAGTAATTCTCCTAATATGTCAAGTATGAATAGCGTGCATAGATAAAGTCAAGTGTTGCATCAACAAGTATCAGGTAGTCTAATTAATACCAGATCCAAAGTTTTTACAATTTAAACTATTCCAATAATATCATCATAGCTAACAAGGTTATCAAGCCATCACAAGCATGCATGAAGAGAATTTAAAATAACTTAATAAAATGTAATTTTTTTTAACAAGCATCATGCACACATTATGCAGTAATGGAAAGTAGTGGAAAATAGATAATGATAAACACAGATAGAGACTTAAAATTATGTCACTCCCCTCCAAACTTAGTTAATATATTGTCCTCAATGTAAGATTAACAAAAGATTAAAGACATAATTTTAAGGACAAAATGAAGACAAAATCAAAATAGGGAAAACAGTACTCCCTTGATCAAAATGGTGGCTGGGACGGAAAGCTGTGCCTGGCATCATCATCGCCTAGAGGGGAGGGAAGGTGGGATAAGATCTCTCTCAACATGGCAGACTGCTGGGTCTGCTCCAACTGCATGGCCTGAACACTTGTTTCCAAACTCCCTAGACGGTCTCAAGACTTGTTTACCTGCCACTGTATACCGTCCATCCGGCTAATGTACGTGCCCAGACGCCCGTCAAAGTTACTCATCTGTCGGCGTACTACGATGGATTCAATGCTGGCAGTGGAATCGAAGTTTCGTGCAAATGTCATATTCGTCTGCACCTGCTGGATGGTGGTAGTCAGTGCTCCAAAGGAGTGCTGAAGCTGCTGCATGTCTCGACTGTGTCTAGTCATAGTGGCAAACATTTGTCTCAATAACTGGGTGTCCACGTCAGCCGGTGGTGGTGGAGCTCAAAATATTCTTAGTTCTTCACAAAACAGACCGAAAGAAAGTCAAAGAAAAGAGAGAATGAGAAATTACCTTGAAATTGCAGAGGAGGTGTGGAGGGATGATATACGGTGTCAATGGGGTGGGGAGTCGAGTGAAATGTGGAGTATGATTCGATGGGAGTGAGGTGTGTGAAGCGTGGAGTGTGTGAGGGAAATAGGGGAAAATGGGGGAGGGAAATGGCCCAGTCATGGTTTAAAACCATGACCAAGTCCTACTATGCGGCCGCATAGTACAAAACTATGTGGTCTCATAGACATTATGTCTATGCGATCACATAAACCATTTTTTTCTTTTTTCTTTTTTTTTTTAAACATTCTGAAAAACAAAAAGATATTTCCCTCGTAAATTTTTTTTAAAAAACTTTCTTTTATCTAGAAATGCGTGAACCATACACCTAAACACCCAAAATCATTTCAAACTTACTGATCATGTGTGTAATGCCTAAAAAATTATGGGGATGATAATCTAATCCTATGAACATGCATGTTTGAACAATGACCTAGGAAAATGTAAATGCGAAAATAAAAATAATTCTAAAAATAATGTGAAAAGTAAGCTAATAGAATGATACAGTGGGTTGCCTCCTACCCAGCGCTAGATTATAGTCGATATCTCGATTTTACTGTATTGCGTCATTCTGATGGTCGAAGATGAACGGTAGACTTTTCCTTTGAAAAATCGCCGCCCCAATAATGCTTCAAACGCTGTCCATTAACCTTGAATGTCCCCTTGCTATCGTGAGTAGTCTCAATTGCCCCATGTAGAAAAACTTGTGTAATAGTATACGAACCAGACCACCTCGATCGCAGCTTTCCAGGAAACAGCTTAAGCTTAGAGTTGTAGAGTAGCACTTTTTGCCCCACCGTAAATTCACGCCTGTGAATGTGCATATCATACCATTTCTTAGTGCGCTCTTTGTAGAGTCTTGAATTCTCGTAGGCTTCCATTCTGAGCTCATTCAGCTCATTAAGTTGGAGTAGATATTTTTCACCCGCAATCTTCAAATCCAAATTCAGTTTCTTCATTGCCCAGTAAGCATGGTGTTCTATCCCAAGAGGTAAGTGGCATGCCTTCCCGAAAATCATTCGATATTGTGACATTCCTATAGGGGTCTTGAATGCAGTCCTATAGGCCCACAAGGTGTCGTCCAATTTCTTAAATCAATCTTTTCGTGACGAGCTTACTGTGACTTCGAGTATTCGTTTCCATTGCCTATTAGACAATTCGACCTGTCTGCTAGTTTGGGGATGATATGCAATGGCTATACGATGTTTAACGTCATATTTAGTCAACAATTGTTCAAACTGGATATTGTAGAAATGTTTGCCCTCGTTACTGATTATAGCCCTCGGTGTTCCAAAACGGGTAAAAATATGTTTCTTTAGAAACTCAATCACCACCTTCCCATCGTTGGTAGGTAATGTAACTGCCTCAACCCATTTCGATACGTAATCCATAGCCACTAATATGTACTGATTAGAGAAGGATGGGGAAAATGGCCCCATGAAGTCGATCCCCCAGACGTCAAATAGTTCCACCTCCAGGATACTCGTCAACGGCATTTCGTTTCTAAAGGATATATTACCAGTGCGTTGACATCGGTCACAGCTCTTCATGAATTCAAAGGCTTCCTTCAATAGTATAGGCCAGTAAAAATCTGATTGAAAGATCTTCGTCGCTATTTTCAAAGCACCAAAATGCCTTGCATATGTAGATGAATGACAATGTTCTAATATCAAAGGCACTTCTTCCTCAGGTACGCAGCGACGAATGATTTGATCAGCCCCCCACCTGTATAGAATGGGGTCCTTCCAAAAAAAATACTTCAATTCAGCGAAAAATTTCTTCTTCTGGTGACTGGAGTAATCATGCGGCATGATAGACCTGACTAAGTAGTTAACTAAGTCCGCATACCAGGGTGCCTCCTCTACACCAAAAATCTGTTCATCTGGGAAGACTTTGTTGATTTCCACTATCTCTATCTGTTCTGTGGCCTCGAGTCGAGACAAGTGGTCCGCCATCACGTTTTCACTGCCCTTCTTATCCCTGATTTCCAAGTCAAACTCTTGAAGCAACAGTATCCAACGAATGAGACGGGACTTTGCATCCTTCTTTTTCATTAAGTACTTGATAGCAACGTGATCTGTGTAAACGATGACCTTGACCCCACAAGATATGACTGAAATTTGTCAAAGGCATAGACTACGTCAAGGAGCTCTTTTTCTGTAGTGGCATAATTGAGTTGAGCGTCGTTCAAGGTCTTACTTGCATAGTAAATCACGTGAAATATTTTATTTCTTTGTTGTCCCAAGATGGCCCCAACAGTAAAATCACTGGTGTCGCACATTAATTCAAATGGCAGATTCCAATCCGGTGTGATGAGCACGGGTATTGAAATCAACTTCTCCTTTAAGGTGTTAAAAGCCAGCAGATACTCATCCGTGAACTCATATATGGATTCCTTCATCAACATACAGTACAATGGTTTAGTAATCTTTGAGAAATCCTTGATAAACCTTCTGTAGAAGCCGACATGCCCGAGGAAACTACAAACACCTTTCATTGATGTAGGTGGTGGTAATTTCTCGATCACGTAAATCTTTGCTCTGTTCACTTTAATACCCTTTGCTGAGATTCTATGTCTTAGCACGATGCCTTCTTGTACCATAAAGTAGCATTTCTCCCGATTCAATACCAAGTTAGTCTCTGTACACCGCTGTAGTACAAGACTCAAATGCTCCAAGCACTTATCAAACGAAGACCCGAACACTGAGAAGTCGTCCATGAATACCTCGATGAATTTCTCAATCATATTTGAGAAGATAGCCATCATGCAGCACTGAAAAGTTACAGGAGCGTTGAATAAACCAAACAGCATCCTACGGTATGCAAAGGTACTGTAGGGGCAAGTGAAAGTTGTCTTCTCCTGATCGTCAGGTGCTACTGGAATCTGATTATACCCGGAATACCCATCCAGAAAATAGTAATGCTAGTGCCCTGTTAGTCTCTCCAGCATCTGATCAATGAACGGTAGTGGAAAGTGATCATTTCGAGTAGTAGCGTTTATTTTGCGATAATCGATGCAAACTCTCCATCCAGTTACTGTCCATATAGGAATCAACTCATTTTTCTCCTTTTCTATCACTGTGATACCCCCTTTCTTGGGAACAACTTGTACTGCACTGATTTATGCACTATCTGATATTGGATAGATGATGCCTGCGTCGAGTAACTTCAATATCTCAGCCCTAACCACTTCCTTCATGTGTGGATTTAATCTCCGCTGAGCATTAATGCTTGGTTTGAATTTTTCTTCCATGAGTATTTTGTGCATGCATAGTGACGGGCTGATCCCCTTGATATTTGCAATCGACCATCCAATAGCTGTTTTATTCTCCCTTAGCACTCAAAGTAGTTTTTCTTCCTCCACCTCACTGACAGTACTTAAAAGAATAATCGAAAATGTAGAAGATTCCCCTAGGTAAGCATATCGAAGGCGTGGTGGCAGTTGCTTGAGTTCCAATTTAGGAGGTTGTCGAATAGATGGCCTGACTTTGTAGTCCTAGTTCCCAGCTCTTCAAAGTAACGTCTGCGCGTGTATGGCGGATTAGTTTCAAAAAATCGTGCACATGTTTCAATCTCACTCGAATCAGTGTAAGTGGATTGAGAATGTGCAATGCACGCCTCGTATGCATCGAAAGGATGATATAGCCAAAATATATCTTGAATTATTCTGTCAATTACATCGATCTGGAAACAGCTGTCTGACTCAGTAGGGAATTTCATTGTCTTGAACATGTTGAACGAGATTTTCTCTTAGCCAAGTCTCAATATAAGCTACCCTTTCTGAACATCAAAAATCGCTCTTCTAGTAGCTAAGAAAGGTCGCCCCAATATAAGTGGAACATCCTTATCTTCCTCCATATCTAAGATAAGAAAATCGGCTAGAAATTTGAACTTCTCCACTTTTATCAACACGTTTTCAATGATCCGTCTTGGATGTGTAAGGGATCGATCTGCCAGCTGTAAAGTAACTATTGTGGCTTTAGCTTCTCCCAAGCCGAGTTTCTTGAAAATAAAAAGAGGCATTAAATTAATACTTGCACCTAAATCACACAATGCTTTATCAAAATGACATTTCCCAATAGTGCAAGGTACAGTAAAACTCCTTGGATCCTTTAGTTTTGGAGGTAGCTTTCTCTGGATTCTGGCACTGCATTCCTCAGTTAGCATCACTGTTTCATTTTTTTCTATCTTTTGCTTGTTGGAGAGGATATCCTTTAGGAATTTTGCATAACTCGACATCTGAACAAGTGCTTCATTAAATAGGATGTTGATGCGTAGTTTCTTGAAGACTTCAAGAAATTTACTATATTGCTGATCCAATTTTTTCTTTTTCAACCTCTGCGAGAATGGAATAGGAGGCTCGTGAGGGTTGATAGGAATTGTAGCTGTACCCCGTGATGTATTGGAATTCTTTTTGACCACATTCCCTGTTGTTTGTTCAGTCTGTTCCACAATTTTGTCATCTGAGATTGGTGTTGATTCATTGCTAGCTACCGATCTTTTTACATGTATCTCTGATAGTTGTACTCTAGTTTTGGTTGTTATAGCCTTTGCGTGCTCCTTAGAGTTGATTTCAGTGTTGCTGGGTAGCTTCTCTGGTGCTCTACCCGTCATGGAGATTGTTATCTGTCCCATTTGTGTCTCCAAATTTTTGATCGCTGCACTTTGGTCTTGAAGAGTTGCATCTGTCTTTAGCATAAACTGGTTGTTGACTTCCATATACTGATTGGTTGTTACCATGAACTTTTCAAACATCTCTTCCAATGGTGGCCTTTTATCCTGCTGCTGATGTTGATCTTGTGGTCTGTTTTGATTCTTATTACTCCACGAGAAGTTTGGGTGTTTTCTCTAACCCTGATTGAAGGTTTTCGAATGTGGGTGGTTCTGTTGGCGTTGACCCCATTGCACAAAATCTGCATGCTCGACCCCCTGTGTGAGAATTGGACAATTAACAGTATTGTGGTCTGTTCCACATTCTTCACAGCTTGGCTTCTTGACTTGTTTAGCAGTGGCGGTCTGTGAAATGCTCTCAACCTTATGGAACAAAGAGTCTATCTTCGCAGACAATGCTGAATAAATATCTACTTCATAAACCCCCAGCGTTCTCTTCTGAACCACTCGATCTGTAAACCACATGGCTGAAGTTGTAGTCATTCTCTCAAATAGCTCCCATACTCCATCAATTGTTCTTGTGGAGATAGACACCATGCTCTTGAAGTATAGAAGTAGTCTAGTGTAGAAAAATCGGATCTGTGTCTTTTTGTCAAAGCCATGTTGCGGGCACTTCCTTAACATATTTTTGAAACGATTCCATGCCTCTTCAAATGATTCGGACTCACATTGGTTGAATATAGAGATATCATGCCGCATTTTAGCTACATTAGCTAGCGAGAAGAACTTGGTGCAAAATTTGTGGGCTAGCTCGTTCCAAGTGGTGATACTTGCGATGGGAAGTGAATCCAGCCATTCAAGTGCTTTATCCCGCAAGGTGTGTGAAAACAACTGCAGTCTTATAGCATCGTCCGAGATACCCTGATATCTAAAGTGTTGGCACATATCTAGAAATCGGGATATGTGTATATGCGGATTTTCACTAGCCATCCCGTGGTATTGATGCCCATTCTGAAATAGTTGAATCACATTGGTTTTCATCTGGAAATTCGGTTGCCCAAATGGAGGATACACAATGCTAGATTGACTTTGGACCACCAATGGAGCCATGAAGTCCCCAAGTACTGTATTCCCGTCATCTTCAACTGCCATGCCTTCGTTGAGTGGAATTACCGATCGATTTTGCTCGTTAGCCATTTGTTGTGCCACTCCTGCTTCTCTTTGCCTGTGACTGAATGTGCATTCGATCTCTGGATCTATGGGAACCAAGTCTTGATCAGGTGCTCCTTGCATACAAGCCCTAAGATAGCAAAATTAACACAAAATTAAATTGACATAATTTTAAACTAAACCTTGTAAGCTAACCCTAAGATAGCAAAATTAACACAAAATTAAATTGACATAATTTTAAACTAAACCTAGT